AATTTGTGGTTCCATATATATTATATTCTTGAAGTGCGCATGTTGCGTCTAAAATCCTTGAAGGGATCTACTATTTTCATGTTCAATATTCGAACCGAAACATCACCTATATCATCAATGTGCCCCAAACCCGTGTACTTTTTAGTCTTCTAGCCAAAACAGAGCCAGGTACAATTTTTGGTCATGAGCCTAGTTTTCAGTTTTGGTCTGAAACTGAGAAATTTCATCATTTAGGCTTCCACACATCTTCAATCACCTAATCAACTTATTTTACATATCTTAATCCTCATTTCTTTATTACAACTAGGTTTGGTTCAAATTCACAAACCAAATTTCGGCGGAGTTCTACCTAATTTTTCGTGTTTTCTGAGTTAACCATAGACCGTGTTATTCATTGTTACAACCTTCAAACACAAACCACAATCTTTCTCATTCAATTTTTATCATCATAACTCTAGGGTTTCATCCAAATTCTCACAAGAATTCTCCATACCCAAAAATTGCTAGAAACATAATCTAATAAGCAATATCTCATTCTTTAATCACCAAGTTTTCAATTCCCTTATCTACCATAAGTTAATCATCATCATAAGCAAACTTTTTCCGTGCTCTCTACTATACCCACAGGTGTAGCCATGGTAGAAAAATGAGAAGAAAAATTAAAATCTCACCTTAGAAGAATGAAGAACAAGTTTCGGAGACACTAATCCTCGGTAGTTTTGTCGATTTTCGCTTAGAACTCATTTTTCCTCACTTTCGTGAATTTTTTTTCTCCTCTCTCTTGGCTGAATGCTCTCTGGTTTTTGGTGTGAAAAAGTGAGCATTTTTTTGTTTTTTTACCTTATAAAATTGGCCATAATACAGTAGGGGGTCTAAGTGTAATTTTTTATTTTTCTAGGGTCTTTTTTACAAAATTCACTAAAAATATCTTTTTCCTTTCTTCTTCCTTAAGTTGGCCGGCCACCTCTCTTTCCACATGTCATAATTTCAACCCTCCATCCAATTAATTACTTTAAATCTCAACCATCTATTACTAATATCTATCTTATTACGGTTCAATTATATTCCTATCTACTGCGCGTTTTACCCACATTTTTCGAATAGTTGGTCAACTTTGTCAACTTTACTCAACATTGACTACCCTTTCAAGAGTGACTTATTAATCGACTCTTGGTCAATAAATTTTGACATGGTCAACCCTACTCGGTCAAAAACCTCAATTTTCTCAGTTCGGCCCTCCGAACCTCTTTTTCGTTCGTTCTTCATTCCGATTGTTTCTAAAACCCTAGAATTGATGTTTTTCAACTCTTTTTTCACTTCTTAAAGTTAAAATTCATGTGTTTGCCCACTTGTGGGTTTAACACAACGTTTTGTGCATCTTTCTTAAATACAATCCAAAAATCGGTAACTGCATCACACCTCAGAAATGTCTGAGCTTTAGCTTATAATTTGCTATTCCATATTAATATCAACAAATACCTATCATAAAATTATTCATATTAATAATACAAAGGATTCAAGAAAATTTTATCTTGTACAATAAATCTTTGGACAAATTTTTCAGTCATGACAGTGTTAGTCTCTGTGCCAATGCTATGCATATTTCGTCTGCAAAAGACAAGAATCCCGTATATATAACAATGACCTACTACGGTTTTGTGGAGGACATATGAGAACTTGACTATTGCTGATTGCGAGTGACACTTTTTATGTGTAAGTGGGCCAACAATAATTATGTGAAGGTTGATAGTGACGGCGCTTTTAATGATTGACTTTCGAAGAATGGACTACAAGAATGATCCTTTCATTTTGGCAATGCAAGCAAAATAAGTTTTCTATACAACTGATCCCAATGATTTGGAGTTGTCCTTAGTTGTTCCCATGAAGCCAAAGTATTCATGATGGAGAAGGGGATGATTATGATTGCAAGGACATTCCATCGGTGAGGAGAGGCTTGACACCCGTTGATGAGGATGATATTTTTGATGACGATGATTCAAACCTTGTCTGTTTAGATATTGAATGGACATGTGTTGAAAATAATAGAAAGAGACAAAAATGATAAACTATATGTTGTTGTAATTTATATGAACATTTAATTAATATGTTGTTGTAATATTAATCATAAACTATATTTATTGATGTATTATTTGGTATTTATATTTCATTTTTATTTAAAAATTTAATATTTTTCTTTGCAGTTATAATGGTTCTGTGAATTGTGGCCAAAAAATTGATAAAACACGGGATTAGTAGGCCAGCCCCACTAATAGTTCAAAATTTGATTTCAAATCTAAAATATTCAGGTATTTCTAAACAAACTCCACTATTTTAAGGAAATTGAGTTTTTAAAATCAATGTCAAAAGTCAGCCTCCGACATCCACAAGGTTTACACTTGTGCATAGATAAACAAATACATAAATGAAATAACTGACATCAACCACAGTCTAGTAGAATTTAAAGTTTACAACCCATAGTTTATACATGCCTTAAATGAGTACTATAATGGAAGAAACACTTTACCACTTCCCTTCTTGAACGGATTTCCTCACCTATCTGCGCTACTTCTAGCGTCGCCTGGGTGGGGTTAAATCACATTTGAAACATAAGAAAAGAGAGCGAAATGCCCAATAAGATAAAATTTATTAAAAAACTGAATAAATAATATAACTACAGGCCCGAAAAAATCATTCGGAACCAACCAAAGGGGAGTGTTGTGAAACAATTAGTGTGGATGCCGCCACTTCATATTTCATGACCTCTCATTTAGATCCCATTATCTCCTTCATAATTCCTCCCTTAATGTTGTGTATTATCTCTCTGTAATACATATCTTAATATATATGTAACTCATGTCCTTTGCCCTTACCTCTACTTATGGCTCTTACCCTATAAACAGAGATGGTATGAGGATGTTTAGATTACTCCACACAAGTAAATGAAAGATTAAAAAGTTGTCTTGGCTCTCATAAGACTCATATTCTCTTATGTTGTCTTTGTTATTCTCTTTAATTTTCTACAATATTTTGGTTTTCACATTTATTTTATAACAGAAAGCGGTTTATTTTGATCTTATTTATACATCCTTATTCCTTAGTAAAGAGTATAATCAATAGAAAAAATGAAAAAAAAAAAATTGGTTTTTTTCCCCTTAAAAAGACATCCTTAGTAAAGCTATATGAAATTTTGCTTATCCCTAAAGCTTTTTCTTTTTTTTTTTTTTTTTTAGAGAGAGGGAAATAGACCAAAACTTGAGATAAATTAAAATTAATAGGCCAATAGTTTACATAAGTTAATAAATAGGCCAAATTACTATTTTTGTCCATAATTTGACTGGTTATGAACCATAACTTAATAAGTTATTGTCCATAAATCATTATTTTTGTCCATAATTTGTCTGGCTATGAACCATAACTTAACAAATTTATCCATAATTTATCTGGTTATGAACCATAACTTGACAAGTTATAACCTATTAACTTCTATAACTAAAAATTGACCTATATACTTTCTTAAACTTTTCATATTGACTTATTTTCTACTATTTTCATTTTTTTTTTTTTTTCATGTTTAACTATTAAGGCCTTATTTGAAGAACTCGCTAAAGGTCAAATAGGCTTGAGCCCACTCTTGTCGTCTCGTCATTTATTTAAAAAATCAAGCTCGTAGTTATCTCTTTAGTTCCCCGTCCTGCAGTTCCACGACCTTAAAGACGAAGGGAATCCCAACAAATAAATAAATAAACAAAAAAGATAAGGAAGACGCCTTAAGTTATTGAATGCGAGTCACTAACATAATTGTATACCCATCCCTTACGCAGTTTCCCATCATATCAACAATGAATGCTTGTTGACTATAAATGTGAATTTCAAGTTAAATTCAAGAACCAATTCATCACTCAGCACACGATCACAAAACAGAAATGAGTTTTCACAAGCACTTGCTTTTGAACTACCACATTTACGCCATTCACAAAAGCCAAAACACTACAAAATCTACTTCAAAGCTCTCATGATTGTACAATAAAGGTCAGTTGTCTATTTGAATGAGTTGCATTTTTTTATTTTGGTGGTATAACTTTGAGGGAGACGGAAACGGGGAATATGAAAGGAGACACAAGAACTGATTCCCTACTACAAAGCTCTCAAGATAATACACGCAATTCGCGCAACCTCATTTGGTAGCAAAACACACACAATTCGCAATAAAGTGACATTTTTCACAAATTAAAGCTTAATTCACTTTACAGATTCGAGTTTTTAATTTGAGTTGAGATATAACAATTTTTTATAATTTTTAACTGTAGCAGAAAAAGTTAAATATGATATTTTTTAAAAGCTTTTAAATATAAAAATTTAAAACTGAAAACTCGAATCGATGAAATAAACGAAACCTAAATAATCAATAAAAGTTCTCGCTCCACTCAAATCGATGAAATAAACGATATCTAAATAATCAATAAGTCCCCCCCCCCCCCCCCCCCCCC